TTAGGGTTTGAGGTCTGACTTGGAGGGTTTAGGGTTTAGGGGTTGAGGTCTGATTGGGAGAGTTTAGGGTTTAGGGTTTGAGGTCTAACTTGGAGAGTTTAGGGTTTAGGGTTTGAGGTCTGAATTTGAGGGTTTAGGGTTTAGGGTTTGAGGTCTGATTGGGAGAGTTTAGGGTTTAGGGTTTGAGGTCTGACTTGGAGAGTTTAGGGTCTAGGGTTTGAGGTCTGACTTGGAGAGTTTAGGGTTTAGGGTTTGAGGTCTAACTTGGAGAGTTTAGGGTTTAGGGTTTGAGGTCTGACTTGGAGAGTTAGGGTTTAGGGTTTGAGGTCTGACTTGGAGAGTTTAGGGTTTGAGGTCTGAATTGGAGACTTTAGGGTTCAGGGTTTGAGGTCTGAATTGGAGAGTTTAGGGTTTAGGGCTTGAGGTCTGACTTAGAGAGTTTAGGGTTTAGGGTTTGAGGTCTAACTTGGAGAGTTTAGGGTCTAGGGTTTGAGGTCTGACTTGGAGAGTTTAGGGTTTAGGGTTTTAGGTCTGAATTTGAGGGTTCAGGGTTTAGGGGTCATGGTTCTGGGATTACGTACCTGTGCCTCCATTTACCTAGCTAGTAGTAATTACCATGAGTAGCAGGAACCAATAAAGATGTAGGAAAATTGAGCCGCATAAAGGTCTGAAGTCAACGGGGGTCAGGCTTCGATGTTAAATTAAAGGTTTTGGGTTTGGGTTTCAACGAACGGTTCCAAGGGAATTGTGAGGGCATCGGCATGGCATCGGATACGTCAGGGACACTAATTTGGGCATAGGGTTGGGCTTTGGGCCTAGGCATATATGCTTTGGCAATCAATAGTTAATGCTCGCGAAAATGCAGGTTTGATACTTCCATCAAATACGATGGGATTGTCTATAAGTGTAGTGAGCAGCTCTGAATCAAAAGGAAGAGAGAAGCTTTATGAAATCATCAAGAAGATATAATTCCTACCGTGACCATGCTAGAATGGTGAGTAGCTCAGGATAGAAAAAGAGGAGGGAGGTTTGATGTGACCAGCAAGCATGCGGTCTACGATCATGCATATATAGTGAGCAGCACAGAATCAAGAAACGATGTGCGGTTGGATGTAATCATGGAGATGGTGCGATTGCTACGATGACCATGCGGGGGTTTCCAAAAGTTAGGGGTCCCTTTTGGGGGGATCCTTTTTATAGGGATTATACTCTCTTGGGGTCTATATTGGGTCACCTAATTCGCAAACCCCCACGTGCGTACAGTGAGCAGCACAAAATCAGAAGAAGGGGAGAGGTTTGCTCCTCCCAGCAGTCGGGATGTGATTGCTACCATGATCACGCACGTGTAGTGCAACCATCAAGCATGATTCGATTCGCTCTATGATGGTGCTACTGCATTTGCATCCCATTCAATGCAACCGTCAAGCATAATGTGATTCTTACCATGATGCAGTGTAGTATCAAACACAGAATCAGAAAGGCGAGGGAGGTTTGACGCAATCATCCAGCATCATACTGTTTGGTGAGAATGACTTGATGATAATGATAATGAGAATGATGATGGCAATCATGATGATGATGAAGATGAAGGTCACGATGCCAATGCGGCGAAAGATGTAGAAACTGAAAGAGAAGAGTGGATTGATCTAATCAATATACAGATGGACGGCCGTTGGTTCAAGCCTGTGAGCAACGGGTCTTCTGTTTTCTGCCGCATGATATGTTGATAAGCAGTAGCATCAACACGGCTCTGCATCTTGCAGATTGATGCGGTAATAGTATTGCACAGTGTTAGGTTCAGTGCCCCCCCTCCCTGTCGAAATCCACGGAAGCTTGAAACGCATGTTGGAAGCAGCCCGAAACTCCATACGTTTGTCTGACTCTATATAGAGGTATTTTGGATCATCCCACTTGCCTGCCACATACGGCTCCGGGAAGGTTTTGTTCTCAAACCACTTCATGAAGGCCTGACCATCGATGGAATGGGCTAGAACTGCCGCAGCGATATCAGGCCAAGGCCCATAGGTCATCTTTCCACTTCGGCTCCAGTAGTCGTCCACGGTGTGCGACTGCTCCAGCCATTCTGCAATGTCTTTGGGCCTAGCCTCCCACCAAGGATCATTCATGATCTCAGTGACACCGGTAACCTTAAAGCGAAGGCTTGGAAGCAACAGCCATTCATATTCGCGCTCGTTCCACTTGGTGACGTCTTTGCCATGGCATGTCTCATACGTCAAATATGACGGGAAAGCCACGCCCTTCTCAAGGCAAGTGTTTGCGCAATGATCTGGCTCGCTCCTCCTGAGTAGTGTTTTTTTGGTGGTTGAACCTAGTAAGATAACATTCCTTATGTAAAATACTATCCCCAAAAGGAGGATATAATCTTACTCTATATTGGGTACCATAGTATCCCCAAATAAAATACTACTCTCCTGCTCATGAATTTGTGGGCGTGGCTGCCGAGGCTTGTCGTCGACTGGAACCATGGGAAGCTGATCACGGAACCTGAATCCAGCGCTGCCTTGGCTGTCACATAATACAATGCCTTTCTGGGAACCCCCCCCGCATATTATATGCATTGGCTTCTACTGCTTCCTCTATTATAACTACTACTATTATTACTGCTATTATCATTATTATTATTACCATTATGATT